TCTAGAATCCAAAAAAATAATTTAGTTTTTATGAAATAAAAAGCATAAAATTATATTATGGGGGGGATGACCTTTTGAAATAAATTAACCTGTGAGAGGTTATTATTTCTAAGGAATTACGAGGTCATATACATAACCTCACGTAGCTTGGGAGTTATTACATTTTTATCGGAATAAAGTTTTTAATCTGCTTATTTGCTGCATGAGATACAGATTGCAGAGTATGAGAATTATAATAAAAGTTTTCTGCTCCGATGATTTTCAAGCATTTATTCGAAAAATTCATAAGTTAAACTCAGGAAAAAAATTAGAATTATGTTTTGTTATGACCAAAAAATCTGTGTGAAAATAACCAAGTGTCTCAGAAACAGAAGAATTTTTCTTTTTAGGGATAATTACATAGCTAGAATTTCGTAAATGCAAAATAATATTATGTAGTACCTTTTGTGATGCTAGCATATTAGTGATAACCTTTTATAATGCCTACGTTATTGCCTTTTATGGTACAACATTAATATGGTAACTGCATTAGCATATAAAGTTATATTTCGTCTAGTACTGCTATTCATAATGTAATTCATAATGTAATTGATCCCTATATGTAACTGTAACCGGCTATCATATTCCTTGCAATAATTTCGAGAAATGGAAGCTACTAGGGATTTCTCAGCGGCCGATGTTAACTATGTAAGACCAGGGAGAGTATTAGTTTCTCAGCTGTTTTAGTTCGGCATGAGCTCGGATTATTGAAAGATCTCCTCAGTAGCTTCGCCTTTTTAGACGTGCTTTGCATAGCACTGTGTTTAGCGTTCTTAGTAGTTTGAAGAGTAACTAGTTATTGTGCTCTGTGATACAGAGAATAGCTAGACGAGCATTTTTGTGGAAAGTTTCAGAAATGTAAGTTATTCGTTTTCATAAAATAAACTTTATCGAGCTATCTTAGGTTCTGGGTGCATTCAATCTATTATGAATAGTACGCACGCAAGAATAGGTTCCATTCAAGGCCAAAATAAAAATATCCTTTCACTACCTCAGCTAGGTTTAAGTTAGTTACTTTAGAATAGCCGAAGATAACCTTTTGGACTGATGCTGAAGAAAGATGATATTACGAGCTACTGATAAGGAAAGTGCAATTCCTTTTTTATTTTCAACTGAGAAAAATGCATTATGTCCAAAATACTTTCCCCCTTTATTAAGTCTCTTTATTAAAGGAGCGACAAAATGATGCTAATTTCATTAACGTAATGTAGTGACGCTACTTTTCTCTTTTTTATGAGATCAATTACATTAATAAGGCTGATAAAAAAGAATCAATGATTTGAATACACAACTCTAATTGTTTGAAAGTAAATGTCTAACATTTGCAAAGGTTTTTCAACCGAAATTGAATTACAGAGCAATTCTTTTGAAAATACGTTTATCATTTTTTGAAAACAGGACAAGTTTGAAAAGAAATGTTTCTAAAATTAGTATTCCTTAAACTTCACTTTTCCTCGGACAACAGAAAGACACCCAAAACAAAATAAAGTCTCTTTTCATGAGTACTCCAAAATGCTTACTAGAATAAAATGTTCATAACAGATTTTTTTTGTTGTAAATTAATGAAACATTTTGAAAAAAATATGTTTTGTAACTCGCTTCTTCTACTAACCCTAGCAATGCCAAGGCACGCCCCGACCACTGCCAAAAACAATATGCCATGATCCGTGTGCTTGTATATATCCAAGACTTTAAAGAGGAAGTCTCGTTCATACAGCTTTTCCGCCTGAAACAGGAAGTGATGAGTGATGATGTAGTCTGTTGACACTGACTGCAAAGACGGAATTCGCAGCAAAGAAATAGACGTTTTAAATTTAAAAAAAAATAGCCCTAGAAAACTGCGTAAAATAGCAAGAGAAGATGTTATTAATGTGTACATTTGTAACGTTTAAAATGTTAATAATACTTATATATAAATCTTAAAATAATGCATAAAATACGCTTCGTTTTCTTAAAAGTTTCAGGTTTTGTTTTCCTGGGAATTTATTATTAAGTCATGAAGAAAAAACTATAGAATTTATTATCTTTTTCTTCGTCTGCATACTAAGTGGGAGAATTCTATTACTCTTTCTAAGATAACTGTAATAATAACTTTTTAAAGTTAGGCCAAAAAAATTAGTTTGGCGTAGTTTTGAATACATATGTCAGTTTTTTTTCATGCAGCTAAAGAAGAGGAACTTATGTTTGGCTGTCCTTGAAGTTGAAATTATTCAAAATTTAATCTAATCCGAGATTGCTTTTTTGACCTAATTATAAATTTTACATTAGCGTGTTTCTCTTCTGATTTGATATAATAACAGATATATTTAAAATAGTAACTATCTAACTTATATTCACATTCATACACATATATCACATTTAAATAAATACGAGATCGTTGCTTTAAGTTTGGCAAAACAATTTTGATCACAGTATTTAAAGAGAATTACTTAATCTTTCAAAAGAGGGGCAAAGGAGTAGGATCTTTTTTATGCAAAATTAGTTTGACGTTTTATACGATTATAAATTACCTAATATGCTGAGATAGCTTTTTTTTACAAATTATCAAAGCATTCTTATTTATTTTATCAGTTAGGAAATTCAGCAATATTTGCAATAATTCAGCAATACGTCGTCACTTGTTCTATTTTAAAATCATTCGTATTTGATTTATTATTCCAATCATCTTTTTCGTAATCGGCCTCAAAATAAATTTTTTTCAAATGCTTCAAATGCTCCATGCTTTTCGCCAAAAGAATTTATCCTTTGGAAAAATATAAAAAACATTATCACTAACTTTCTCATTTCCATGAATTTTATGGCGCGTTGCTACAACGCAAGAAGATATATTAAAATACAAGAAGATATATAACTTTACAGTAGTCGTCTCAAACTTAAATTACACATGGGCCAATGCGCAAATTGAGCGTAGTTGATGCGCAGAAATTATCAAAAACAAGAGACCAGGCTTTGTTTTTAACAAAACAAAATTTGTTAATCAAATTAAAATCGTTTTTCTAGATATTTGTAAAAACATACAAAGCAAAATATCAAACATATATTTTGCCGGAAATCTAGAAGTTTGTATCTGCAAGAAATTTCTGTTAGTCACAATTTGGAATTCAAACAGACAGCTAAATATTAAAATTTGACAACTAAATACTAAAACTTTCAGACTGGCATTTATTCATCTAACTGTAATATATTCAACTACCGTGTAACACTTTTAATTTAAACTAAAAGCAAATATAGATAATAACACTTTTAATTTAAATTAAAAGCAAATATAGCTTCCCAGAGGGACAAAACTCGAGAAAAAATAATAGCAACCTATTATTCTCTTTCTTTTATTTATTAGATTTTTCTGTGACGCAAAATAGAGAAAATAATATTTGCATTCAAATTATTGCAAATATCTTTGTTTTTTATTACACATTTTAGCTAGTCTCAAAACTTTTTGATTTTTATGAAGTTTGTAATCTTGGAGGGAAATTACCAAAAAATATCGTCACAAATTATAGCTACTCCTCGCCAGTCTGATCCTTTTCGTAGACTTATTAATTTTCAACTAAAAAAAACTATTCTCATCAAAAACAAAGCGAGCATTCTTATTGCAAAAATTGAATAAAAGTTAATAAAATTTGTATCTTAAAATATTTGAACTAGATTTAATTCACAGTGTAAATTTAGCTCTATTTCTAGATTTTCCGAAGAGTTGCGTTCGTTTTTCGTAATGAATGTAACGTAAAATAGACTCCAAACCATTAAAATCTTAAACTTTTCCTTCAAATTCTTATCATAATGATGTTAATTAATTTACCGGAAATATATTCGCAAGCAGCATAAAATTACTTCGAGGGCCGCAGGCGGCCTGCAGGCCGCCAGATTGACCTTTGACACTGCTTTACTAGAAAACAATATATGTGATCAAAATTAATTTGGGATATTCATATTACTTGCTTCAAACAGGCAAAGTCAGAGCAGATGCAACATAGTGACGAAGACTAATTCTTGTTACCCCCCTCTCACGGAGCCACACAAAGGAATGAACTAGCTCTACTCTTTAACACGTTGAGCGCGGCGCCGAATTTGATGTCCTTTCCGTTCAGCCGGCAGCGAGCTAAGCCGTATTTTTGTTTAGAATGATTCAATACATTTCATTAAAATTAAATTTGATCACATTTCATTGAGACTATATTTATTTTTTTAACTTTAATGCTGTCGGTTCCGCGGACCGACGCCAGCCAAACGAAAATTCCAGTGCCGGTCCCCAGGGACCGACGCCGGCCACACGGAAAGTTCACTGCCGGTCCTCAGGGACCGGCGCCGCGCTCAACGTGTTAACCTTGGTATATATATCTTTAATGTACTCGTCGTTTCTTATTATTTTAGGTGATACTGAATAAATATGATTTGTGTATAAATACACATTCCTATTATCAATGGATGAAACATGCAGCAGCCTTTATGATGCAACAGAGACTTTGCGCAACACTATTATTTCACTATTACACTATATCTTATGCAACAGACACTGTAATTTCGAAAATCTAACCTGCGCTGCCGTACCCATGCACAAAAAGTAATCTTTGTCTTCAGTTTTAATTTCCCGTAATATTTTTCTTGAATGCCTCTGAATTTGTTCTACAATACGTTTCAAACTATCACGGTTTGTGTTTCTAATCTTCTTTTTATGCTTGTTGCGGCAAAGCCAGCAAACTATTAAAAATAACGTTACCCTTTTTGTGAATGGCATCACTTACGTTTTTGTATTTATAAATGTCTGTTTGCTTGTTCTATACTTCATGTTTATGTTAGGAAATAAACAAGTATAAAATACTATCTCCTAATATCTGGTGCCGAAAAAACCATTTACGAAACAGGACCTTATACTTCCTACTGTTGGATTATTCTTGCTGAATTATTTTACTTCCCGACATTAAAACTTAGTTTTGTTTTTGCTCTTTTCTACTACTCGGGCAATGGCGCCGACCGTTGAAGCTATAGACAAAATGACGCAACTGAAACGAAAGCGGAAAGCCGTGCGAAGTAATGTTTCTTGCTTTTCTACTGAAATTGATTCTTTGAACGATGATTTCTCAATTGAGAAAGTTGAATTTATTTGTAATCGCTTAACAACTGCTTTAAATGATATGAAACTAATAGATAACGAAATTCACAACTTCTTTTCTGACGATGAATATAAAAGTGTTAATTTGCAGTGTGAAAACTACATAGATACTGGTGAATCCGCGATTTTCAAAGCACGAAAAATTATTCAAAATAAATTATCGCCAACTCCAAATAATGTTACTGCTTCGAATATGGATACCAATGATTTAGCGATGACAATTGGCGACCCTCCTACTACAGTGCCTATGACTGAACCATATACATTTAAATCGCCAACAATTAAATTACAGTCATTTACAGGAGAAATTGAACAGTGGCAATGTTTTTGGGAACAGTTTAAATCTTCTATAGATTGTAACAGCTTTAAATAATATTAAAAATCTTGTAGTTTAAATAATTTAAATAGATGAACATTAAGATATTTGTGAATGGCAATATTTGAAACCAGACTCGAGTGCCTCGTGCGACTCTCGCACGGAGAATGTAATTTATTTTTTAAATGTTAGAATTTGTTTTCTCTTCTTGTTTGTATGTCACCATTTTTTTCGAGTGTTAAATAAAAGTTATTGCTGTGTTCCATCATTGGAGTTGCTTCATTTCACCAAAGAAGTATCACAGTCTTAATTATTTTGGAGGCACCGACGAGATCGAATAATCGTGCGTATTTTTATGTCATTATTTCATCACTGAACATAATATTAGTGATTATTACTTTCTGTTAATATTGAATTGCTTTATTTTATTAGTTCATCACTGAACGCAATATTAGTGATACCAGATTATTACTTCCTGTTGATATTAAATTGTCTTATTTTATTAGTTCATCACTGAACGTAACTTCCTGTTGATATTGAATTGTCTTATTTTATTAGTTCATCACTGAACATAATATTAGTGATGCCAGGTTATTGTGGAAAAATCCCCCAAATGATTTATGTATCGCCGTTAGAGGGCGCTTCGCTTCTTAAAAGGAATTTTTTTTTTAGTTTGCGACGTAGTTAGTTAGCAGTGAACCTTCGATGCAATTAAAGTTGCTTTGTAAATAAAATGATTATTTTTGTAGATTGTTGAAGTATTTCACTTCATTTAGAATTAGAACCACCTTTCACAATATGGTGCATCGGTGCCGAGAACCTTTGGCCAATTTAGAAGTTTGTGTTTTTTAATTTTGGATATCATTTTATGCGAAGACAGCCAAGGTAAGCCTGTATTTTTATTTCTATTTTTATGTAATATGGAAGATCCTCTTGCTAAACTGAAATCGAAACGAAACGTATTGAGGACCGGAGTGTCCAAGATATTAAAGAAAATTGAAACCGAACTGAATAAAGATGATAGTAGTATAAATGTAAATGTATTAGAAGAAATTTTAGACCAGTTAAACGAAAAATCAAAATCTTTGAGCAATTTAGACGCTGAAATAGAACGAGAATTAAAAGTCGAAGAAGACGAATTTGAACTTGAAATCTCATCCGCTTTGGAATATGAAGAGAAAGTTCAAGTGTGGCAGTTTAGAGGAAAGAAAAAGTTGAAAGAGTTGAATAAGTTGGAAAATTCGGACAATGCAAATGGAGACATTTCTAATGAAACCGTTAAAGAATCCCAAAACGAAAGTATCAAATTCACTCGTCTTCCAAAATTAACGATCTCTAAATTTTATGGTGATTCTTCGGATTGGTTAGAATTCATAGGTCAGTTCGAAAATGCGATTGATAAAAATCCGAATTTATCAAAAATAGAAAAATTAATTTACTTAAAAAGCTTTCTTGGTGGCTCAGCCGCCAAAGCTATTTTCTGGTTTCGCTCTCATCGAAAATAATTACGAAGCTGCTCTTGAACTGCTACGTTCCAGATTTGGTCAAAAGAACATCTTAATTAATTCGCATTTAGGACAACTCTTAAGTACTTCACCTGTTAGAAATCCTAATGATATAAACGGATTAAGAAAACTTCTAGATCACACCGAAGTACAGATAAGAAATCTTTGAAGCATTAAAAATAGACTCTGATACCTACGGAAATCTTTTAACGGCCTTTAATTTTGAAATTACTTCCTAATGAATTCGTTCTGATTGATTATAGCCGAAAAATTAAAGACGAAAATTGGGATTTAAAAGGTTCTGTTAGCCTTTTTGAGGAACGAAGTATTCAGTAGAGAACGCGCGGCATTCTGTTAATTATAATTCTAGAGAAAAATATTCGCGATTGGAAAAGCAATTTGCCCTCTTCAAACATAAACATTCTCCAGCCATAACAAGAGCAAGCCGTCTACAGTTGAGTTATTAGCTGCGTCAGTCCGAATCGCAGTGTCTGTTTCTGCGGGAACACAAATGTCATAAATCTGCGGATTGCGAAATTTTTTAAGTGTAGAAAAGAAAAAAAGAGATTCTTAAAACGTGGCAATCGCGGTGATATTTTTATGTTTGGGTCGGTTTTCACCGGATCCAAAATTGTAAACAAAAATAAACTGTGCCTTCTGCTTTAATAAAAACACTCGAAAGCCATTTGTTATTCATTCCATCAGAAAAAGATAATGAAAAACCTGAAAAGAAAACGTCGGATTCGGGCGTTATTTCCGCTGTTTCGTCATATAATTCCGATGAAAATAGATCTAATAAAATATTATTACAAACGGCTTCTGCATTGATCCGAAATAATGATAAATCTGAAAATGTCAGAATTTCTTTTTGATAATGGCTCAATGAGATCTTTCATAACTAAAGATGTATCTACTAAAATGGAACTTCCGATTGTTAGAAAAGAATCACTTTCTGTTTATTCCTTTGGTGATAAAAGTGCGTTAGAAAAACCTTTAATGTTGTTAGAGCAAAACTGGAAAATGTTAAAGTGATCCTAATATTAATATATATATTGAGCTTCTTGAAACCTAAAATATATCCAATACTGTTATCTCTCCCTCCAGATTTGAAACTTTGCTAAAGAAAAATAAAATTTTACAAAATTTACAATTAGCAGACTGTTGTAGAAAAAGTGACAAAATTGATATTCTCATAGGGGTAGATTTCTATTATTCTATAATTACTGGTAAAATTAAAAGAATTTCAAAGAAATGTAGTGGGCCACTGAATCTTTATTTGGGTGGTGTTTGCAGGGTAAAGTAAATAACGATCATAGTGAATTATTAACTATGAAAGTAATTGTAAATGAAAACTTGATATCAGATCAGTTACAACAGTTTTGGAAGTTAGAAAACTTGTTAGGTTCAGAAAGTGATACTCAAAACGACAAAACTGTTGATTTAGAAATTATGAAATCTTTCGAATCTGATATCAGGTATAAGAACTGCAGATACCAAGTAAATTTACCTTGGAAACCGAATGCAAAACATTTAATGGAAGATAATAGGGATATAGCACTTGAAAGATTTAAGAAATTGAGTAACAAATTTAAAATTGATAACTCTTTGTTTGTTCAATACACAGAGGTTTTAAAGGATTACGAGTTTGTAGGGTTTATAGTTATTTTAACTAACATTTATTTTAAGTTTAAACTATCTTTCCTGTCAATCCTTACTTTCCCCTGGAACTGCCAATGCCAGAATATGTAAATTTGAGTAGAACGCGCAAGCATTCAAATTATCAGCGGAAGTAGTATGATTTAAATAGAAGGAAACAAGTTCGGTGAGAGAGAGTTATTCTTACTTAGCGAGCGCGGAGGTAGTTATAGAGATTTGAAAAACCCCGCGTTGCGGCCTATGTGCTTGGCGGGAAGTAGTTGCAATTGTTCCAGTGAGCTTCAAGTCTGCTGAATTAGCAGCCGTATTGTAAAACGCGGTGAGTTAGTTATTTGAGAGAGCCTCGTAGTTAGAATATTGTCTTTAATTTCTTTTCAGGTTTTTATTTTTATTTTGACTGCCGAGTTGGCACCGTTTGTAAGCGTCAAGAGAACGCAATTGTAAATTAGTACGTTGAATAAAAAGGGACTTAAACCCTTTATAAGACTCTGTGGTTTATACAAGCTTTCACAGTCACCTCTTGGTTGCGTGCTAGTTAGAGGCGCGCAACGTTATATTGGCGCCCGAACACTTATCGAACTGAAATGGCCGAAAACTGGATGGAAGCCGCTGGACAACACCAAGAAATGACAACGCAGTTAGAAGGATTTGGATACCTGGTCCAGACTTTGAGAGCATCAATCAAGCCAAACGTCTATTTCGACGGAAAAAATTCGGTGTCCGTATTTTTAGAAGGTATAGAAAAACCACTTTCAGCTCTATCCTGTGCCCGAAAGACAAAAAGTTGCTATCGCCACATCAGCACTAAGAGGACAGGCCGCGCTATGGTGGAAAAAATATAGGCAAATTTCTTCTAGGTGAATTTGGAAGCCCGACGTATACTTTTGAAAATTTCAAAAAATCGTTAGTAAAGGCCTTCCCCATAGTGAAAGATCGCGCACGGCTGGAAGCCGAGCTATATAGTTTCTATCAACGGGATACAGCACAATTGACGGACTTTATTTTACGAAAAATCAAGCTAACGGATATGTTGTATGGGAAAAAACCCGATGCGGAGATTATTGAAATAATATTACCAAGATTGTTACCCGCTTGTCCAAGACTACTTTGAAATTAGAAACCCAACCACATTGCAGGAACTTTTCGAATTGGCGGTGAAGTTTCAAAATCGCAGAATCGCGGAAAGAGCGAGAGGGGAAACATATTCTCAAAGTACCAGAAGGAAGGAGGAAACAAGAAATGGAAATCGCTCATATGGGGGAAAGAACTATCAAGCTAACGCATCGAAACTTGAAGGGCAAGGCCCAAAAAGAAAATTTGAAAATAAGCATCCGCGTACCCAGAAGACACAGATTGAAAGGAAAGCTTTAAACGACTAGAGGGGCCTGTGAAAGGGAGGGTCCAGACCCCGGAAGTTTTAGAAAAACCCTCAAATAGACATCTAAATACAGTCATCGTAAAAAACTCACAGCTACCAATTATACAAGTCCTGGTTGGCGATGTACCAGTAGAAGCCCTCATCGATACAGGGGCAGAAGGCAATTTCATGAGTGAAAAGTTCTTCAAAAAGAATTTTTATAGGATACGACTCTTTAAAACCAGAAATACGGAAATTATAGCGGCGCAAGGAAAAACATGTCACTGCATCGGGAAAGTAGCATTAAACGTACAGGTAAAAGAGGAAAATCTCAAAGTATTAATTTTTGTGGTGAAACACCTCCAACACTCTCTTATTTTAGGTATGGACTTTTTAAGGGCCGCGAGGGCCAAATTAAATTTTCAAGATAGTTCCGTGGTGCTGGAGATGGACCAGAGGGTGGTGGAACCGGTGGAGATACCTGAATTGGACCTTAGCCATT